TATTAATATTTAATAGTGATTTTATTATCAGTATTCACCAGAAATTAAGTACTGACGAAAAAATTACTGAATTACTGGTAATATATAATCACTAATAATTTTTTAGTATTTATTAGTATGATATTCCTGTAAGGGTGTTATCTGGGATTTTATTTTGTATAATAAAACATATTAATAATATTACATACATATTGCATTGCAATGTTGCTATACAGTTGCGTTGTTATATTGCCGCAAGCGGACATTTTACCGTTGCTGCAATGTTGTAGGAGCATTGCAGCAACATTTTGCAACGTTGTTGCAATGTCACAATATTGCAAAATAATGATGCTGCAATGTTGCTGCAACGCTGCTGTGCTGTATGGGTATATTGCTAAACCTTACTTGCTTTTATAAATCAAAATATTATAAACGTATTATTTAATGTTCCTTAAATTTTAATGTTTTTATAGTGCATTATTACTTTTATGTTGATTATTCACGTTGCTCAAGAATTTGTTTGACGTTACCCTTATAGAAATATCATACTAAGAAATACTGAAAAATTATTAGTGATTAAATATTACCAGTAATTCAATAATTTTTTGGCCAGTACTTAATTTCTGGTGAATACTGATAATAAAATCACTGTTAAATATTGATAGTAATCAAATACTGAGAATTATTATGCGAAGGTGAAAAATGAGAAAATCATAATGTTTACAAAAATATACTTATATTCCTAATTTTCTCATGTCTCATAAACTACTAGATATCGAAGGTTGTCAACACATTCCAAACTTTCATGAATCCTCCTGCGATAATTTCGATCCCAAGCGGTATACCACTGGTCACACTCATCCATGTCGTGACCGCATTAAACTGTTGCTTAACCTGACGATCGGCGCGCACGCGGTGACTCTGATGACTTCAACGATGTTCTTACAATTCATGCTTATATAATGTATCCTTATATTGTTCACAGTATGGTCGAGTTTTTTAATTCATTGATGGATCCATCACATGATGCGCAAATGCAATGTTTCGCTGTATTTACGCATCATGCAATGGATCCATCGATAAAAAAACTCGCCTTATATTCCCAGGTAGCAAGGTGACGTCTAAAGACGTCATTAAAACATCATAGACGTCTTAATAACGTCTTAATGACGTCTTTAGACGTCACTTTGCTACCTGGGATGTAAGTTTTATACAATATAATACTTATAATAGTATAATACTTAGAGTAAAGGCACCAAAAGCGATATACTACTTTGTTTTTGAAGGTTATGTCTTAATATAAAGCTCAATATAAATATAAATATAAATATA